TGGGGAAATTTAAAGCTTTTAAGGGCTTAAATATAGCAGAGGTACATGATTATCTTCCTCCTTTCCTTTCCTTTCCTTTCCTTTCCTTTCCTTTCCTTTCCTTTCCTTTCCTTTCCTTTCCTTTCCTTTCCTTTCCTTTCCTTTCCTTTCCTCTCTCCCTCCCTCCTTCCCTCTCTTCCTTCCTTCCTTTTTCTTTCTTCTCTCTCCATCCATCACCTTTCAATCAGTATCTCACAATAAGTCCAAGAATTGTCAGTAGTAAAACAAATAAGACGCAGCAGATACTCTAGAAAAGTGTGTGTGTCCAATAGCATGATTAGAAACACAAATTCCAAGGGAAACCTGAGAACTCTCTACAAAGCAAAGACTTACAAGCAGGAAAGAAATGAAGAAGAACACAACTCCTATGGGAGAAAAAGATGGTATCTCCCTAAAGAAAAAAAAAATGCCCTCTCCTATGTTTCCTCTTATATGGACTGTGAAGAGTGAGAATTATTCACCTTTGTGAATAATTCCAGGAACTGAACACAAAGACGGGGACCTGGCATGCACTTGCCCATAATTTCTGCAAGGACCACGTGATGTTCACTATGGAGAACCTCAGGTTGCATCAGGGAACACACGGAGAAGTCAACTCAAGAACATCTGTCATTTCCTCAATCGATACACAGGTGGGGGTTTGGTGACACAGGGGAACTTCAACTTTTGCATACCTTTCATTGATTTAGTGTTTCAACACCATTTCCTATTAATTAACTTTTATTCTAGTGATTTGGGGTTTTCAACAAGAAACTAAGAGAGTTGATAGACACACTTGTTGCATATATCATGTATTCCCAAAAGGTTTGGCAGTGTAAGGAGAAACGAGGTTTTGGGGAGCAAAAAAAAATGGAAATGCCAGCAGAGTCAGTATTCTATGCAAACAACCTACAGAGGGCTAGCCCTGATTGTTCTAGATAATGGGTGAGCATTGCATTTTCATATATTTTTAGAGCACATATGCATAAGAGGGCTGTCCAGAAAGTATCCAGCCATTGTTAATATAACAAAAACAGTTTGCATGACATCAGTGTAACCTGGCAGCCTAGGAGAGGGGACTGGGATGACCCGTGCATGAACAATGACAACTTCACTGTACTAGTCAGTGGGGCACTAGACCCGGTTGGGTGATCGTGTGTTCTGTGTGGCTGTTGCATTCAAAATGACTGAGTAGAGCAATGAATCTACATCAAATTTTGCATTAAGCTTGAACATTCCTCCACAGAAACTATGCAGATGATTCAGAAGGCTTTTGGGGACGATGCAATGAGTGCACTGCAAATAAAAGTGTGGCACAAACACTTCTAACAAGGCCAGGAATCTGTTGAAAGTGATCTGTTGGAAGGTATACAACAAGCAGAACACCCGAGAATGCTGAACACACACTGGTTAGGTTTAGAGACGCTGGGAGAACTATGTGAGGTCCCAAGGTGCCTATTTTGAAGGGGACTGAAGCATCGTTGTCCTATGTACAATATTTCTTGTATCTTGTGCCTTTCTCAATAAATCTGTCTATTTTTCGTATTATGTAGCTGGATATTTTCCAGACAGACCTCGTATATTCCAATGCAAGCAATATCATGAATTTGAGCAGGTAAAAAATTGTCATCTCTCTGGCTCTTACTAATTCTCTGACTTGCCAGGTTTGTTTTGCTGTAGGATTTTCAATAAACACTTCTGAGAATACTCCTCCACCTGGATTTAAAGTAATTTGCATTTCCTCCGGTCTGAAACCAATTCGCCGTGGGTATAGGCCTAAGCAATCACAAATATCAGATACGATTTTAGTAACTGCAGTTCTTGTCTGAAAGTGGTATTCACAGAAAATATAACTTTAGGTTAACATATCAAGTGTGCGTGTTTGCATGAAGAACAAAACAAAACCCTTGCAGTGTCTGTAGCTGGCGAATGCTGATCGGGTTAAAAAGTCAGCCTAATTTCTACATTTAATGAATCTGATGAAGGGCAAAGTCATTAATTCAAACTTTTAAAGAAATACCTTCATGTTGGGCATAGAGGAAAAGAAGGTTTAAACAGGTGGCCATGATATTTGGGAAAAAGCTGGACTGATTTTAAGCTGCAATTTGGAGTGAAGAGCAGAATGTTGATTCTAGCAGCGCCTGGCAGGCAGCTTCGTGAATATTTAGCCTTGCTAGAATCAGGCTTCATATCAACCTGATGAGGTTTATTTCCATAATTGGAAATCTGGTGAAGATATGGGACGTGGTATGTACGTAGTTATAACCCTACGCTTGCCCCCAGTGCTTCCCGACCATCCATTATATTAGAGTCCTGTACTGTCTACAGGTGATTTGGGGGTGAGGGGGGGATTTGTGTATGGGAAGAAAGGCAGCAAGATTTATGATTAATTTTAAAAGAAGACAGATAATACTTCTCATCTTTAAACAATTTAAATAGAAGCTTCCTGAGAAGGAAGGCATCTCATAAGTCAATCCAGTTGGCTCTTCTGCCACTTGAATCTTAACTACCTGTAATACATACATCGGTCTAAGTTCTATTCTGTGGGTGTATACAGAAAAATCTCATCTTTCCTCTTCATGGCTGCCCTACACACTTTTGAAGGCAGCTATGGTGTCTTCTGCAATGATCTGTTTTGAAGATCAGATACCCCTATTTCCTGCAAGCATTCCTCATCATGAAATTTTCAGCCCTTTCATCAGGCTGTTACTCTTCTCCGAATTCATTCATTTAGCAAAGATTTATTGTGTACTGACTACACGCCAGGCATGCCTAGAGCTAGGATATAGAAGTAAGTAAGATATAGTCCCTTCCATAAAAGAGTTCAGGGGCTAATGGGTGAGACAACAAAAACAAATATATTATGATAAGTGCTATACTAGACATACACATACAGTGTTATGACAATCATTTTTCTTTTGGGGGCAGAAGTAAGCAAAATGTTTCATGAGGGTTTGACTGGTACATAGCAGAGAGGGTCTGTTGTATCTCTGAATTAAAAAAATCACATCTGTATCTATCCTATGTGCCCCCTTTCATACCTGATGTTATTTATTTATGACTTTGATCTCTTTTTCTTTATCATACTTCTCCAACAATTGTTTATTTTATTGATTCTTATTTTTATTAATATCCATTTTTATTCTTATTAATTCCTTCTGCTTTTAAAAAAATTACTTATCTATTTTTTTCTAGCTTTTTGAGTTTATTAATTTTCAACCTTCTTGATCTCTAGTAGATTCTTTTAAGTCTTTGCATTTCTCTTGGGTACTGCTGTAGCAACTCTATAGGCTTGGTTGTATGAGGTTCTTGTAATTGCTTGGTTACAAACAGTTTATAAAGTTAGGTTTGGCTAGCTCCAAGGTCCTCCCACTCCTCAGATCCTGTGATGCACACCCTTCGTCAGATCTCCATGTTCCTGCTAAGAGGACACTTGGGGCAAGTGGCCCCGAAGAGGGTCCCTCTCCCTGTAGCAGCCTCTTGACCTCAACAACTGTGTTGAGAGGAGCAGCAACATCATCTCTAATTAGGGCCAACAACGAGGGGAGCTGGCAAATGGGTATGTTTTTCTTAGCTATGTTGCCAAGATGAGAGATTTCAGTTCTGGAGGAAGACCCCTTGCCAGCAGGACTAGTTAAAACAAGAATACATAGAGAGCATAGTGTCTAGATTTCATCAGGCTACGATGAGGCGCGTCATTAAGCAAGGCAAAGGGAGTAAACTTGGGGAAATCTCTTCTCCTACTCATGCAAAGCAGTATGGTACAGGGTGCCTAAAGGGGATCCCCGTAAAACTCGGGGTGCCTGCTGGACTGGCACTTAAGAAAATGCTGCAGCCCATTTGTTACTCTTTCTCTGTTCCTGTTCCTCCTTAAAATCATTTCCTTCAGGATACAGCGGTTTCCGGCTCCCCTTGTCTTCTTCTCTGTGAAAATTTTCCCTTAAGAAAAGATCTGGGGAGGCCAAGAGATAAATGACTTGTATTAAATACTTAATAATACTGCCTCGCTCAGGCCAACACTCATTTTAAAGGGAACACAAAGCTTTACAGTAAAGGAAATCAGCCTGTATTTCTGGAATTTTCATCACTACTAGTATGAAGACTATTTGGAAGTAGTAGGAGATCTAGACCTAAATACCAATGGGAAATTGGTTAGTATCTATTTTTTTTTTTTTTTTTGAGTCAGAGTCTCCGCTTTGTTGCCCAGGCTAGAGTGAGTGCTGTGGCGTCAGCCTAGCTCATAGCAACCTCAAACCCCTGGGTTCAAGCAATCCTCCTGCCTCAGCCTCCCGAGTAGCTGGGACTACAGGCATGTGCCACCATGTCCGGCTAACTTTTTCTGTATATATTAGTTGGTCAGTTAATATTTTTCTATTTATAGTAGAGACGGGGTCTCACTCTTGCTCAGGCTGGTTTCGAACTCCTGACATTGAGCAATCCTCCCGCCTCGGCTTCCCAGAGTGCTAGGATTACAGGCATGAGCCACCGCTCTTGGCCTAATTAGTATCTTAAATGATTGAAGAGGGCTGCATGTATGTACCATGTTTCCCTGAAAATAAGACCTACCCATAAAATAAGCCCTAGCAGGATTTCTAAGCATTTGCACAATATCAGCCCTACCCAGAAAATAAGACCTAGTGATGGGCGTGGCTACGCAGCGTATCTGCACAACCCATGCATTTCCTCGTGGAGCGGTAAAAAAGATGAGCAGCCCTTCTCATCTGCCCCATGAGGGCTCTATTGCTCAACATGAGAGATCGGGGCCAATGGTTCTAAAGGAAATAGAGTCGTAAGAAATTCAGGATGGAATTCGGGGTTTGGAGAGTTAGGATGATGTTCCAGGAGAAGACGACTTAACTATATTTGAATAAACGTAGATTGTTGTACCATAGTTAAAAAAAAAACACACCCCCTGAAAATAAGCCCTAGGGTGTCTTCTTGAGGAAAAATAAATATAAGACCCTGTCTTATTTTTGGGGAAACATGGTAGCATTGTGGTTCTCAACCAGGGGCAATTTGAGCCCCAGCCCCGGGGAACATTTGGCAAGGGCTGGAGGGGTTTTTGGAATAAATGAGAGTGACGGAGCTAGGGGGAGGGATGTGTGCTGCTGGCATCTAGCGGGCAGAGGCCAGGGATGCTGCTAAACATCCTACAATGTACGGGACAATGTCCTACAATGTACGGGACAGCCCTACAACAAAGAATTAGCTGGCACCAAATGCCAATAGTGCCAAGGTCAAAAACCTTGGTGTACAGTGATAGGTATTTGGCAAAGGATATTGGCCCCCCATGTTGGACAGACAGCAGGGAGAGCTTCAGTTGGCAGCTGGAGGCCACTTTCCCTGAATACCGGGGCTCCCACTGCTCAGCAATTAGAGTGACTGTCTCCCAGTGCAGTGCATCTTCTGAGTTCTTTGGAGAATTCAAAAATCCATTTTTTTTTTATCTCTAGATTTTTTTTTACAATTTCTAGATTGTAAATTTTTTTTACATCTCTAGATTAGATTGTAAATTTTTTTTACATCTCTAGATTTTAAAACACCAGCAATGAATCCAAATAAATGAAGTTGAGAGAGCCACACAACACACGGCCATGGGCTGGACTTGGCTGCTTTGGTGGCTGACTTGACGAGCTGTGACGAGATCGACCTGGCCCATCATCATGGCTGTGGGTTGTAAAGACAGGGCTACAGGCTCCCAGGGCAAGGTTCTGGTGGTCAGTCCTTCTGTCTGCAAAGAACAGGACTGAAGCTCAAGCCAAAAAGAGGTCTGTTTTAGCCAGGGGGAACACAGTATCAATTGCTGTAGCACAATTTAACACGGTTTGCTAAAGGAATTTTGCCTTTTCCTCTTTTAAAATCTCTTTCTTGGACTTAATATGCTCATTTCGGATTCTGGGTTTTTGTCTTACTGATTCAAATATCTACCAGACAGAGTTGGTTGTTGGAGAGATTAAATAAGATAATATATGTGAAAGTTTGTAGCGTAGCGTCATCTGGCACAAAAAGAAATGTTCATGGACTCTAAATACAAAGATAAAACTTCACTATCTGAATGGGACCATTGGCATTTTTTTTTTTAACTGGATAGAATCAGTGACTGGCTCCTGGGATAATGAGCTGAGTTCACTGGCTTGAATTTGGAGGGCAAACACATGTTCTTTGTGTCTGGGAGGTATGCTTGAGATTTCCTTTGTCTCTCCCAGCTTTGGGGAAAAGCAAATTTGGCATAGCCTTTGAATGTTTGCCTCCCCCACACTTTTTTTTAGTCTGGAAGCGTTGTAAATTTGCCTTGTTAAAAACAAGCAGCATCTTCATACCTGCTGAAACCCAGTTCTCATCCGGAGGTGATTGATGAACGGAGGGGGAGGTAATACCACAGGCACAGACAGCCCGTCCACGCCCACGCAGGTCCCCTGGCCTGGCTGCACTGACCCGGGAAGGAGGCCTTCGGGAAAGAACCCCTTTTATTGTGACTCGAGCCTCTCCCAGCCCAGCCCGAGCCAGGAGAAGTGTTGTCAACGAGACGGGCCAATTTTACCTATTTTACACAATAGTGCATTACAGACTTTCCAAGGAGACACCATTCAGGGTGAATCACCAAATTCAGGATGAAAAGGTTTTGATTTGCAAAAGCGCTCGAGCATTTCTCTTCAGAGCTGGAGATGGCAGGGAAAGAACCGACGTGCACACAGCTGCTTCACCTTTGGGCCAGGTGTGCTGGCAAGCTCTCCTCGGGAGCAGAGCGAGGGCACCCGGCATTCACAGGCGCCTTTGTCAGGCTGTGGGTGCCAGGGCTCCTGAATGGCTTATTTAAGGAGGGAAAGAATAAGAGGGTACTAGTAACGCTGGGGTATTCAAGTGAGTGCAATTGAGTCAAAGCATGCACTGCAGGTTAACAGCAACTGAAATTAATGTTAAAAGTTTTAGGTCCTCAAATGGATTTCATCAACACAGGTAAGAGGCGATGAGAGAGAATACTAGATGAAGGATTGTACCACTTGGGGTGATTTCAGCTACCAGTAATCGAAAATCTATCTAAAGTGCATTAAAGTCTTACTCGAAGTTTGGACTCAGAACGGGCAGCATCACCATCACCTGGGGAGTTTGTCAGCATTGCAGAATCCACAGCCCCAGTCCAGGCCTCCTGAATCAGAATCTGCATTTTAACAAGACACACAGGTTGCATGTGTGTTATATAGTTTGAGAACCACTACCTTAAAAAAGGACAATTTTTAATATCGGATGACAAGTACACTAGTGAACTAACCAGCGGTGGTTAACTCTGCAACTCAGCAATGTCAAGAAGGGCCTGGGTGCTTTCCATTTCTCTGCTTTGCTATGTTTAGTGTGGTTACTTTTATACTCAGGTTTATGGTCCTGTGGTCACAAGATAGCTGCAGAAGCTCTGGACATCACCTCACACAGCTGCATGAAGGGGTAAGAAAAAGGAAGCTTCCTCTACAATGTGCCTTTTTAACAACAAAGAAATATTTTCTGAAAGTCATTTAGATCTCCCTTCATGTGACATGTCTCATAGTTAATGGGCCAGAACTGTAATCGCTTGCCCATCCCTAAAGCAATCATGGACCAGGGGATTAGAATGATGCTGACTGGCTAAGGCCAATACACATTTAACCCCTGGAACCAGGTGGAGGCTTGGCCTCCTTTAAAACCTGTGGCAGCTAAATATGTGAACAAAATGAGGTTCTGTGACTTGGAAGAAATAAGAGTGGAGAGGAGAGATAGCTGGTGAGAAAAGCAACAGCATGAGCTGCAGGAAGTTTTTTGAGGCTGATCTTGTATATCTTGGGACATTAGTAATTTCCTCTAGAATACTTGTTTGAGGGTTAAAAAAGAAATCTGCCTTTGATTTGGATCTATTATCGATGCAAGGGTTATCATCCTAGCACATACAAAGACTTGGGTAGTTTGTGCTACAGGAAATACTTAATGATAGAATAATTACAAAAGATTAGAATGAGGAGGCTAGAAAGGACTTTATAGACTACTTAGTCTAGTGCCCTTATTCTATAGACGAACAAAAAGTCCAAAAGATTTATATACTGGTCAGCTGTGTTGGAATTGGAATGTATTCTCCCTTTATGTGCTACTATCTTGATGGGAGGTAGTTCATCTTTTCAACTAGAAAGCTGTATTTTGAAGCTCTGCATTATTTTATATTTCTGGGAACATGAGTAATTATGTAGAATGAATCACATGGAGGCCATTTTAAGACCATCTAAGGGAAATAGGATTCTATTAAACAGGTCCTAGGATTCTAGAACCATGAGACCCAGAAGCCAGGGCTATGTCTGATGCAGTCTGTAGGTGCTCAAGAAGTGCTTGTAGAGCAATTAATGAAGGGGATAAATGAATTATGTACGAGTACTTCTTTCTATAAAGAGAATTGCCCATGTGACCTGCTTTCACTATTGACATTCTTATTTGGTTTATATTGTTTTTATTGACTTATTTTGAACTAATAGGATATAACCAATGGAGTCATGAATATACATTTTCTCTTTCATACTCTTACTTCTAAGGGACCTAAGGAGGAAAGGAAAAATATTAGTCTGCATTAATAAACTTAGAGTAGTCCCCCTTAACCACAGGGGACACTTTACAAGATCCCAATGGATGCCTGAAACTGTGGATGACACCAAACCTGAGTGACATGAAACATGTCTGTTCATGTCTTCCGACCACAGATTTAATGCTTTTTCCATCTTATCATACACTGTGGGCATAACTTATGCAGTCTGAGATGCAACAGCCAAACTGGCATGAATTGCTTTTTCCTTCTTTACAATTTCAGATAGGCTATTTATTCTAACCAGATATCAGCAACCTTAGCGTACAATTTTTTTCCTTTCCTTATTAAGTCAAGAATTTTCACCTTTTCACTTAAAGAAAGCACTTTACAGCTTCTCTTTGGCATATCCAAATTGCCAGCATCACTCTGGGGCCGTTATTAAGTAAAATAAGTGTTACTTGAACACAAGCACTGTGGTATGGTGACAGTCGATTTGATCATCAAGGTGGCTGCTAAGTGACTTACGGGCAGGGAGTGTCTACAGCCTGAATATGCTGAACAAAGGGGATGATTCATGTCCCTAACAGGAGGGAGCGAGACAGTGCGAGATTTCATCATGCTACTCAGAATGCAATTTCAAACTTATAAATTGTCTATTTCTGGAATTTTCCATTTAATATTTTTGGGGCCACAGTTGACCAAGGGTCTCTGAAACTACAGAAAGTAAAACTATGGATTGAGGGTGGGGGACTATTGCATCCTGTTTAGGTCAAGGAAGAAAGTCTTCACACTATTCTTTGGGCAATTGTGACTGCTTTGGAAATGTTTTATCACTTCCCCGAGCCATATCTTAATGAGGACATTGATAAAATATACAGTGATGTCACCGATAATTTTAAAAATTAGAGCTAAGCACTGTGTTGAACACTTTCACAGTTTTTCATTAAATCATTACAAAACTCTTGTGAGGTAGGCATCTCAAAGATGAGAAAACAGAAGCTCAGGGAAATTAATTAATCTAAGGACAACTACTAAGCAGCAAAACCAGTATTTGAACTCAGGACTGTCTGACTCCTAAAGCCATGCTTTTAACACCTTTGTAACAGCAAAAGTGTCTAAGCATTTATTATATGGGAGACGTTCTAAGTGCATTATGTCATTAATCTTAACAAAAAGCCTATGAGGTGGGAAATATTTATTATTTCCTTTTACAGGTAAGGAAATTGAAGCTTAGAGAATTTGAGTAACCTACCCGTATTTGTCCAACCCAGGTCTGATCACCATGCTATTGCTTGCAGATGATGAGGAGCACAATATTATATCCTATGTTGTTCAAGAGAGCAGAAGTGGGACTCAGAAGAACTTTCTAAGGATTAGTCTTTGCCAACAATAAACTCGTCAGCCTCAACTACAAGTGAGCTGGTGAGATGTAACAAACATGACTGTCAAGGGAGTATAGCTGGATTTACTGCATGTAATTAGACACAGGACTGGATCATCTTTAATGTCTCTTATCAGAATAGAGTTCTGTAAATAGTCTAAGTCTTTTTTCTGAGGCACTTTCAGTTTCAGTACTGGGTCACTCACTTGATTGGAAGTATGTACTCTGCAAAAGCAGAAAGGGATAGATAGGTACAGAAAGGAGATTCTTACTTTCATTTTCATGTCCTTTGCTCTCCCAGACGCCTACCCCACCTCTAGCTCTTATACTCAAACCTCTACACTTGCAATTTACTGTAGATGCCATCACGCTTTTCCATAATTGGACAAGTAGGTTTCCAACCACCCAATTCTCATTTAAAAATGAAGGTGTTCCCACATCTTTTAAAAGAAGTTTTTCTAAATAAGAGTTGGACCAATGGTTAGATATATTCATCACTTTTCCCCAAAACCAATGTTTAATAATCTAAAAGCCTGTGTCTAAAAGTTGTGAGCAATAGTTGAAGCTTTCATCAGTATAAAGCTTGGGCAATACTTTACTGTAGAAAGTAGTTAATTAATTTCTGCAAAGTTAAGATAGTAGTCCATTGGAACTCTAATCTGTTTTGAGAAATGTGTACAAAATTAACATTTGCCCAGAGAAGCATTTTCAAATGTCTCCATCCGGTTCGGCTCCATTCTGAGAAGAAACAGAATGATGCTTCAGTAACTTGAAACTTTACTAATTGAACTAATCCTGCCTTTGAAACAGTGGGCTGAGGCTCAAAAGACAAGCTTCTTAAACTAATACTGGTCACTTTCTCTTTTCTCACTCTCTCTCCTGATTCCTTTTCCTTTTTCTTCTCTTGCCTATCTTTTCAATTTGGAAACCACTGGATTCAAAAAAATGCATCTGTAGTTGTTTATTTTATGTGTGTCTGGTTTTATGGGTTTGTGGAGCTCCCGAAACTAAATTAATTTTAAATGAGTTTTAATTACTAATGCTTTGGGCCATTGCCCTTAACAAAGTCAACATAACAACCAGTTACCTTAGTTTGTCTCTTTGAAGAATGTCCTCATTCGTTTGGGCTCATATTAAACAGAGCAGATTTCTAACTAGGAAAACAAACAAATAATATAAAACTACTGCTATATTTGAAAGCCTGAATTTATGTCTCTTTCAAAAACACCTACCTTTGATTCAGGAAACAGGATTTGAAGTGTGCATAAAAGGATTTTTGTTTGTTAATAATATCTTGTTATTTTTAAAAGGTGGGGAGAACCCTATTCATGATACAATGCTATGTAAATGCAAAAGCAGGGGTTGAATCACGACCTGAAGGTTTGAATTCCGTTCTTAGCTTGTCACAGAGTGCTTTGTATGCAACATTAGAGAAATCGGCTTACTTCTCAATGCAGTGTCCCCTTGTAAATTAAGGGTAATCAACTCCTAGTTCAAATGTGAAGGGATAATGAGATAATGTTCAAAATGGCTTTTAAGTTTCTACCTATAGAGGTTGAAGGTGAAAAAAGAACATTGCAACATCTGTGGATACCCCCTCCCAGGAGGGACGGCTACTTGCCTTGTTCCCAGTGGAATGTTCTGTTCAATCAGGGGCCATCACTTGAGTGGTTGATGATAATAAGCTTAGATTGACTGCAGATAAAAATGGGAAAGGTTGATTAAGTCATTTAGTCCCTTGACAATTTTGCAAACCAAGCGATTCTTATAAGCATCCATCTTAAACTGTACAACGTAAGGACTAGCCAAATAACCAGGGTTCTGCATTCCATATATTGCAGAACTTTGACAATTTCCATTCTCCCAAAATTAAGATAAAATTTCTTTTATCAGAATTTATTATAAATGATTTCCAAGTGGTTTTTAACACCTCATTTATCCCTCTTAGGTAGTAGATATACCCACCCATGGTTGCCAGTTGGTTAATTTGTTAATCAGTTAAATTTGTGTGGTATGGTATGACAGAAACATGAATCTTTCTAGGCAAAATATTAAATCTATAACCCAGTCTTCACCTCATGCCCAGACATGTTACTATAGAAGATAATTGGTATAGAAGACATCTTAATACAGAAAAGAAACAGTGATTTAAAATAAAGACTCCAAATATAAATTTCCTGGAACAAGTTCAGAAAGAGAAAAATAATTTTTTCCTTCTAGATTCCCTCCAAAATTTATTTTATACTCATATTTAGAGCAGTTCCCAGTCTATTTCAATTATACAGTATATCTACATGTGCAATGCCAAGTACAAATTCAAGCAATTATTTATTTTTAAATGTTTTTGTTTTTGTTTGCTTCTTTTTTAGTTTTTTTTTCACTTTTTCTTTTTTGTTTTTAAATTTAAAATTTTTTTCAAGCAATTATTTATTAATAAGAACAATATATTACATTTGTCTAATGTTTACAGTTTGCAAAGTGCTTAAGCTTACTCTTCTTTATAATATCTGCTTATTTTTCTCGAAAGGTTTTAAAAATAAATTATTTATGTTAATTGCCTCAACTTTACATTGGAAATCTTCTCTCATTTATTCATTACTTGTTGGATTTATGCCTATTTGAAAATTTAAAAAGTAGGTGATGCCATGGAACATCCCTGAAGCTCCGATCCCAGGGTAATGCACAAATACTGCCATAAGCAGGCACATATACAGGCACACACACACATACGTATGCTTAGCTTCAACTTTGCCTTGACTGGTATTCCCAGCCAGAAATTACTTTTCTTTCAAATCCCCCTTGATAACTCACATTATATGTAATTTCCTTCAATGGCTGCTCACCATTGAGGACTTTTCTATAAAAGCAAAGAGCCTGGATAAAAGAAGATTGTATCGGAGGAAGAAAAAAACACTTCGAAGAAGAAAACATAGCTGGGTAAACGAGGGAAAGGCTAATGGCATCTTTTTAAAGTTAGACTATTTCCAAAATGTGTGCTTCCCTCTTTGAGATGTAATTTAAGTTCCAGTGGAGTCTTAACACTGTAGAATAAAACTTTATTTTCTTGTTCTGAATGATGCTAAATATAGATCACTATTTGAAGAAACAATGACTGATCATCTGTTTTGTCAAGTAAATAGGAACAGCAGAATTGACCATAGGGGACCTCAGAAAGGAGACATGGGAGAAGGGTACTGATAAAGTGAAATGAAGGTGTTTGATTGGGTCACAAACATGAGCACTCTTGAGCAGAGTGCTTGTGATTGATTACTAAATCACAGCACCATAGAGAGGTAGGGACCCAAGTTCATCTTTAGTTTTCACCCACGTGTCTTAGACAATTGTATGCACGTAAAGGAGCCTCCAGTGAAAATGTATTCACCATCATTTTTTATTTTTTTATCATTGTCGCATCCCTCACTCCTTATTCCTGCCACACTGACCTTTTATCACTTCCTCAAATGTTCAAGGCTTCCTCCTGCCTCAAGCCCTTTGCAAATGTTCAAACACTCACCAGCAACTGTGCTGACCTGGACCGCGTTTGGTCTGCCACAGTGATGGATGATACAGCTGGTTCTACAGATGTGAGGTGTGACACCCTGAATTCTGTGCTATCGGGGCCACTCAACTGGGACACTGGAAAGTGCCATCAAGAGAGCACAGGGCAATGGGATGGCATGGCATCCAGGAGGGAATCTTGGAAGTAACCAAGCAGGAAGAGGAGGAAGAGGAGGCATCACAGGAAGCAGAGAAGTGGTCATGGAAATAGGAGTATCGGCTTAGGGCAGTGTCTCAGGAGACAAAGAAAGAAGAGTTTTAAGAAAGCAGATACTACCAGTACTAGGTGGATACTGTGCTAAGTACAGTTCCTGCAGCTAGAAAGCACTTCATAGACCTTTTTCTATTCATTTATTCACTCAGATATTCTTTCAAGCATTCTACAAATATGCGTGTGTAGCTACTGCGTAAACAGGTGCTAATAACACAGAAATGAACAAAATAGTCATTGTTCATAAAGCTTACATTCTGGGGGAAGAAAGAGTGGGGTGAGGAGAAACAATAAACAAATTAAGAATAAAGATAATATAGGATGGTAATAAATGCTATGGAAAAGAAGAAATTCAAGGGAATAGAAAGATCAGATGGTGTTATTTTGGGTAGGGTAGGCAGGAAAAACCTCTCTGATGGGGGATATTTAAATGGAAAACAGAATAAAGTGAGGCATGTGATGTTAGCAGTTGTGATTGATATGATGATGATGATGATGACAATGATGAAGACTTAAAGAGGATTGTGTCAAGCTGCCAAGAGACAAGAGAAGTATAAGAATGAGAAAAGGATCAACAGCTCGAATGCAACAGAGATGTCAAAATAAGGGAAGGACAGGAAAGTTTTCATCGGGTTGTTAGATTTGACAATTAAGGAGGTTGGTGACCCTAAAGATAGTAGTTGCAATGACTTGCTTGGAAGGAAAATCAACTGCAGAAGATTAAAGTGTAAGAGCATAATACGATATGGATATAGGGGAGGTGTCTTGAAAATGTTTGGAAATGAAATAAAAGGTGTGTAGGGGGTAGTTAGATGCAAAACAATATCAAACTAGGTTTTGCTTTGTTTAGTTTTTCCCTCAAAACTAGGAAGTATTTACATTTGAGGCCAAATAATTTTTGGTTTTGGGGGTGTACGAGGGGGCTACTCTGTGCCTTGTAGGGCATTAAGCAGCAGCCCTGGCCTCTACCCACTAGATGCCAGTGTCACCCCTCCACCCAGCATGACAGCCAGAAATGACACCAGGCATCGCTAAATGTACCCTGAAGGCAAAATCACCCCCAGTTGAAAACCATTGCCTTAGACTGAGGTGACCTGCGTATGTTTGAAACAATGGAGAAAGAGCCCATGGAGAGGAAGGGAGAAAAGATACTGAAAGGGGAGAGTCTCAGTCTACAGCCAGGAAGTTCAACATGTTCCTCTGCAAGTGAGAAAAAGCAGAACTATAGGGACTGTTAATAAATGCTTTGTTTTATGAGTTGAGGAACAAATGTTGTCATTCTAAATTAAGAAGGGGCATTCAAGCTGAAAATTAAAAGAAAAAATATATTTGTCGTAACAATTTGGAAACCAGCATGCAAACTCTCAAGGAAATGCAGTTTTATTAAAAAAGAGAATCCATTAGTTATCCTTTTACATATTAGTACAATTAAGCCAAATGAGCAAATAGTTCGAGTTGGGGAGCAGATCACGTGATCCACAAACTGTCCCTTAGTCTGGGAAGTGCTTAATTTGGGATTGAAGACAGATGTTTCTAATGTGACTCATGTATTTTTACCACTTTCTCATGGGCATGGGCTGAGATTATTCCTTTCTGTCTCCTGGTGATGTCAGCCTCTTGTTTATACAAGATGAGCCCGCCTAAGTCAAAGCTAGCCCTAAGTCACATGTGTGTGGTAAAAATACATAGGCAGGCTTCTCTTTGGATAGAATACAGTTGCAATATCTATGGGAATAGACTTGGTTTCTGGGTTGAGTATGTAAAGTTTAGAAATTGGGCAATGTTCTAGGATAACAGCATTTCCAAGGTGAGAGGAATCATCATGGCTACCTTCACAAACACTTTGTAATTTCTCAGGTTGTCATTTCAAGCATGGCAGATGAAAAATAAAAGTTGTGCCTCTTGTCAAAGGAGGAAAAAATGTGAACATGCTACTTGGCAATTAAGTCCTTTTTTCCCTACATTAAAATCAAATGTTAATCTGCACCTGAAAAGGCAACGAACCTTTATTGTGAACCTACCCTATCTGGAGAGCTATGGTAGTTATTTTACATGGAAAGTGTTTTTAAAGCCTCATGACAACGCAGTATTATTCCCATGCAAGGGAGGAAAACTAGTGATCGCAAAAATCACTGCAAAACCCAACAACATAGAAACAGCTGTTTTATGTCCACAGTTTCTCTTGGGACATTCTCTCCCCAGTGATATATACCAGTCTCTGATGAGATCGTGACTTCTTTAAAACAGTAAACACACAAACCTAACCACTTTTGGACTGATAATCGGGTGGTCTATTTTGTTCAGCCAGTCCCCGTCCAGTAGAGATGGGTGAACAGACCTGACTTGGGCTGCTCCCTTCGTGCCTCACGAAGTCCCCTGCCAGCCCTCTTGGCAGACCTCTCTTCCCACACACTAAGGAAATCTT